ACTATATTTAATTTCAATTTCTTTCATAAAAGTTTTCTCTGAACTTCCTCGGTCTAACCCTTCGCAGTCTCAAAGCTTTTCACTAGAAATATAGAATATTTTCCAATCTAACTTTGATATTCCTTGAATCTACTGAGAAAACATAAACACGTAAACAAAGAAATAAAGCTATTGTATTCCAGTGTTTCATATACCGATGCATTGTACAAAATTGAATATCATACATAAGACTTTCCAATTTTATTATATCAAATCCAGAGTCACCTCTCGAGTGCAAAGGGCTAATATCTATTCGCACAGTAGCACTGACCCAACCCCTTCAATAAATACTCCACAACGCATAGTTAACGCTGACAACAAATTACACCGACGATCGAGCGTAACCGTAACGAGCCTCATGGAGAATCCCTCGCGGAATACCACGATCGAGTAGTTTTGTTGCTTCTTCGTACCGATAGCGACCGATTGTCGGTTAATGGCAGCGACTCGTCGCGATTGCCTACGTTGGCGCAGCTTTGACGAGGCGCGCGCGGCTTATTGACGCTAATGCCGAGTGTCAGGCCGAGATTAATCTTTCCGGCGGTGGTCACATTCGCGCGATCAATCTTGCTCGCGAGGTTCCGCGGGAATGTGAAAGTACCATTCCGTTTCCTCCGCGGGAACTTTTTCTTCCTCGGCGAGCGATGATCCGCGAGAAATTCGAATGACACACATTCGATGATATCGGACCGTTGAAAAATGATTGCATCGATTGTCAATGGGAACGCGACGCGCGAGAGGTTCCACCGAGGATTGAAAACAGTTATATCGGCTTCGGCTCTTCGTACAGTTACGAGGAACCGAAATAAGTCGTAACTGTTACTCGGGACGTCGGTTTTAAAATGGTTATGGAACTGTTATTTTCTGGTCCTTCGTCTCTGTTCTTCAAAACTGGTTCGGAAATTGAATAAAATTAGGTTTTGATAAAATTAGAAATTGTAGAGGTTCCGAAAATAACTGAAACTGTTATATGAAGTAAGTCATAATTTATATTCGGTATAACAGTTCTGAGTTATATTGGCTCTAAAACGGTTATAGACCTGTTCTTTTCCGGTTGTCATTTCGGTTCTTCATTACTGTCTCAAGAACCGAACAATAATAGTCATCCTTTTAGCTACTATATGCAACTGTGGTGTCTATCGTGTATATCATCTGTTCGAACGGTGCACTATAGCGGTTCAATTCTTTCTCTGTCATTGATAGCTATATACATTATAGTCTAACCTAACGTAATTGCACAGTAGAAAATTCTCAGTCTGAAATCGCAATGCCACATTTACGATATGCAGCCGTATCAAACCTTACCGTAGCTAAAAGGTTATTAACATTTCAATCGCTAGTTTTATCGAAGCTGTCAATTTTTGAAACAGTTTTGAAAAATCGAGATGAACGACCAAAATAACAATTCTATAACCTTTTCAGAACTGATATAATTTAATATCACTTCTTTCGAATCTCCATAAACTGTTCTATTCGGAACCGATTTATAACAGTTCCGAACGGTTTCTTTCGGAACCTTTTCAGTCCCTGGATTCTACCGAATGATTTCGACTTTATCGCGGTCGTCCGGGATATCTGAGATTCGAAAGGGGACAAAAGGATAAAGAAAGAAGGAAATTGGTACGTGCGGGTAGCCCGTGGCTGCATTTCTGCATTCTCATCGCGCGCATTGATGTACAGCGATGGGCGTAAAAGAACTTCCGCACGGCTCGGGACTACACGATAAAGTGGCTGGCACGTGAAACGAAACTAAAACCTCTCTCTCCCGGCGACGTCTTTTACTTCCTGCGTGGCGTCGCCTGGGTTACGAACCCCTTTCGAGTCTCTCCCGCGAGTAATCGCGTTTGACATTTCGAGAAGTAAACCGTTCGCTGTAATTGTTCGGTTTTCCTCGGCTTAATTGGTCGGTGAAACTATTGAAGAATGGGCTGTTGGAAACCGGTGGTTGGAATTGTTCAGGTGATTAGACAAGAACTGAAGAAATAGTAGCTCTCTTTATTTTTTAAATGAACACGCAATCAGAAAATATATATAATTGAAATTCCAATTGAATGCGTAAGAAGAAAATAAATAAAAATCTTTATAACCCTTTCAGTCATGGCGTCCTCATATAACGTACTAAAGCTTGGTGTATCTAAATTCGGTAAATTTTATTGTTTGCGACCGTCCTATTATGACAACCATAGATTCTATTCAACAATGGTGTCGACCTCTCTTATTAAATTTTGTTATAAAATAAAACTAAAGTCGCACTTTCAAGTGGACTCAGGAAAAAATCGTGACCGAAAGGGTTAAATTGTGGTATTATAGTGTGAATTATTTATTGATACATCTGATGCAAACATAAGCAAGTTAAGATGGTTGAATTTTGATGAATGCAACAGTACATCATTTAATTTAGCAAGTAGGATTCGAAATTATCTAGTTGTCAGATTCGAACGGTACTGAATCGAAGCTATAATCAGAGGTAATATATTACATTTCCAAAGAGAATAGAAACGACTGGCAGCAAAATGAAAGTGTTGATCAGTTGCGAAGTTAAATTAGATAGTGTGACGAACAGCCCGGGGAAATGGTTTTCTCATTTTTTCACCAGTTCCATACGCGAACTCGGTGCGACGAAGAGGCACGGATATTTCTACGATTTGAGGAGGACATTCCTGCGGGAAGAATCGCGAGACGCCAAGCGGAAATTGCCAGAAGAACGGCTATAATAACCCCTGCCTTTTTCTCGATGACACGTAATTGCCGCTTCAGCACGTGAATTAGGATCAGCCGCGGATAAAACGGTTTGTCAAACCTCGCACACGCGTGTCCGCCGGACGCGACGTTTCAACTGGTTTGGAACAAGGGAAAAACGGGAAATTATAGGAAATCACGAGCTACGAGGAAGCAATAAAAATCGTAATCGTGGGACGCGGTGCCAGATGCGGCTGAGAAAAGGTAGAAACTGGTGGTCGTGAAAAAGTCACTCGAGTCGAATGAATTATTTATCGAAACGCCTGAATACTATGCCACGCATTATTGTTTTAGTTGCGATAAAATGTCGTAGGTATGAATTGTTTTGTAACAAAAACCGTCTACCTTGAAATTCTTTCTTGTTCTTGCAACTTGTTACATATAAACTTGTGTTTTTCTTGTAATGGAATAGAATATAAGAAACTATGCACAAATATTAGATTTCTACTTGTTAAAGTGTCATACTATAATTTTGCAAAAGATATAACCTATTCATTAACACTGGAACTACTCGAAGGGTCAAAATGGTTCCTAAATTATTTCACAATTATTGACAAAATAATAGATACATCTCTAAGAAATTTCTGAGGAAATTGTTTAGTAAAACCCAAACTAAGTTATGAGTGATCGAAATCTCGATATATATACCCTTAGCGTTTCTATAGACAAATTTTGAAGAGTCGAGTACTGCTCGGTAGTTCTAGTGTTAAGAAGAATTAGAAAATTGCGTAATAATTCATTGGAAATCTATAAATTCAATTCAAATGATATTTTATTAGATTAAAAAAAGTATCGCAGTACCTCTGATCTGAGGAGAACCGCCGAAACGAGACGATCAAATTTATATTGACCCCCAATTGTGATTTAATCGGATTTAATCAAATGAAAAGTTCGAAGCGCAACTGGGCTACAATCGAATTTACATTCAATTTGAATCGTGCACTGTCGAGGCGAAATTCCGTGTAAGTTACACGCGTGGCTCGAAAGAGAAACTGATGGATCGGCTTGCTCGATCCCGCGAGGAAAACGTACTGCGAAGGCGTCACGGCGGAAGATCGATCTGGGATTAATGATGCATGCACGTATTCCTCGGAGTTGTGCGAGAGTGCGTGGCAATGGGCCTTTAAAGCGATGCCTACGAGACTTCCTATTCGATAGCCCGACAAACGACCCCCGTGTCACTTACATCTGCAAGTAGTGGTGGCTCTTCGAGTCGTTCGAGTAGGTTCGAACACGTGTTACTTTCCAAATATTCAATTTCCAGATTTTCGAGATGTCCATAAGTCAATATGAAGTACGAAACGATGAAAATCGTGAGAATTTTCATTGCAATTTTATTTTGAATCTATTTTACTGTAATTTGTACATTTCTGATTGTTCTTTTCTTTCTGGATAGGGTGGCTTTAGAAAAATGTTAGTTTTAGGTAAGAACCGAGGCTGAATTCTTTGAAACAGATTTTGGATTTGCAAAAGGATTTGAATTGGGTGTTGAATGTGATCGAATGTTTCGAATACCGATCGTTGATTCGAACGCGCTCGAGCAACTTGAAGACCCATCGCTATTGCATACGAGACGTCTTACAAATGCGTACACGTAAAATATTCCACCTTTTCTCAAGGAAACACGACTTTCTCGATCGAACTGCAATTTCTCTTTCGGGCACTTTGAGTGTTCGATGAACCCCGTAGGAAATCGTAAGCTTTCAATTAAATTTATTTCGTTTAATATTTGTCTATGAAATATCGATGTCGACTCTTTTTTAACTTGAATTTAAAAGTATTATTAACATTAAATTTTTTAAATAAACTGTCTCTAATATATTCCTCTCTGTCAATAAATTTTAAATAAAAGATATTAATGTTTAAAGCTATTAAATATAAGATAAAAATAGTTCTATATGTTTATGAAGCGTGAATTGCACATTAAAACTGATTTTCAAGTCTTAATGTCCATTTTAAATGATCTGATTTCGTCTGTTGGGGTAGTAATTGCAAGGTCACTTTAGTTCTTTAAACTCATTCGATGTCAATCATGCTTTATTTACTTAATAATCTAATTACAAGTTGAAATGCGACGAAGATTAAGGGCCTCGGTGACCACTCAATTATCAAGGGCACCCGGTACATGGTCAAGGGGCCATTCGAACGAAACGACCGAGATATGACGTCTCTGTTTCGAATAGCGAAGGACGACACGGAATAATTGCGTGTTTCCGTTTCAGAGCACTGGGGATACCACAGGCAGGGTTCGTGTCAAGCTGGTTTGGGCGCCGCCATATCCAAGGTAAGATTCGACGAAAATTTTACTGACTTTCGTTCCATTTGTTTATATAGAGCAAATAACAAACACCGTACATTTTAAACTGAAATCTGTAAATTTTAAAAATAACAATTTTTACTGCAAAAACGATTTTTCGCAGTGATTGCTCTTTGAACTTTCTTGCAACTTGTAGACTCAACAAAATTTGGCTCGTTTCATATGGTACTAAGAAAATTAATTTCATGAATGTCGTGGCAGTCAATGTGTTAAAATTTGAAAATTCTATAAACCCAAGAATTAAAATCCCCTATACCTTCACTAGAAATTTCAACTTTCAAAATTCCATGCACACAGGAACTAAAATTCTCTAACCCTTCACTAGAAACATCAAACTTCAAAATTCTTTAAAAACCAACCACTAAAACCCTCAACACCCTCCCTAAAAACATCAAACTTCAAAATTCCACCAACCGAACAACTAAAACCCTCCACTCCATCCCAAAACCGTCAAACTTCAAAATTCCTTAAAACCCAGCAACTGAAACCCTCGACGCGATCACTGGGAGCGTTCCAAAAGCCACCGATCGCCGCGCGAAACGAAGCGAACAGAAGAACCATGGGGCTGGGAAGGGGTGAGATTAAAATTCAGGCTTGAACTATTGAAGTCAACGAGAGAGGCGAAACACAAGCTACGGTTCGTACGGTCTAACTGTGTTTATACACCCGGGGGATATAAATACGGTAACCCCACGTGTCCTGGCGGGTGCCGGGTTCTGAAAGAGTTAAGAGACGATGCGAGGGGTCGGCGAGAGCCGAATATGGCCAGGAATGTGAATTCCTACCTTACGCACCTCCGACCGGGGCATTCGTATTCGTGGTGCATGCGAGGAGGCATAGAAGCAATCGGCGGCCCTCTCGTATACGATTGTCTTGTCGAAAGCTCGATTTTCTGGCCGTCGCGTCGCGTCCCGTCCCGTCCCGTCCCGTCGGCAAATCCCGGGGCCCGATCGGGCCTTCAGGTACCTTACGTAGGCGTCGACCAACTCCTTTTTTTCCCCGCTCGATTTCTTTGAGATACATCTCGACCCGCGCACACCTAAAGGCCGTGCGACGTTTGTTGCACCTGCACGATCTACCGTTTGATACCTTCTTCGAGCGGCTCCCTCGCCGGCGCGATAAGTATCAGGGGCAATGGGTACAAATTCGAAATTGGTATGTTAGTGTTTTATTCACGTGACCCTCGCCGGGGAAGAAAGGGTGTACGTGAAGCGTATGAGGAATGGGTTTCGGGACCAGGCGATTTCGTTGGCCAGCCGATTCTTTTGTCGAGGATGAGTCAATCTTCTGTTCGAGGTGTTGGTTCTGGGAACACTGAGTTTTAAGGGATAACCGAGTGCAGCGATAGAAGAGAATTAACCGCTTGCCTTATAATGACGTGCAGATTCGTGATGAAAATTTCAAACCAAATTCAACGGTGTCTTCATCTAAGTGTTTTTAATTTGTAACATAAATTAAATATATGTCTATTATTAATCTCTAACCTTTAGAGTAAATGTAGACACAAAGTAAACATAACATTCGTTTCCTTTTCTACTATTAATGACAAAGTTGTTTTATCAAACACAATTGAGAAGTAAATCATAAGGCAAGAGGTTAAATAACAGTTATTTGGTAACTCAATGAACGATTATATTTGTAGGATAGAAACTAACGTTTAAGTTTCATTTCTTTATAAACCATTTATGTGTTGAATGTTTATTTTTCTAACTTTGTATGAAACAATGTTTCCCAAGTTTTTCCTAAGTAATTCCGAAGATCTTCTATTGTTTTCTTGTTGGTTTGCAATAGTTTCCTGAGAACGAGCTTGTCATGCTTTATTCAGCCAGCATCGCGCGCTGTGTTACGTAGAGGAAAAATCCGGTAAAGTTGAATATACTATTCAGATGACAATTTCACCGATCTCTAAGCAGAGGTTCCCCAGGCTCGCCTCAATCCGCGGCGAGAGCAGCGTTATCGCGGAGCGGGACAGCTTCGATTGCCGGCAAAGAAATAGTGGGACAATTCCGCGGCCACTCAGCCGGCTATCTTGCCATGGATGTATAATTCAGAATTGTCCGGCTATATGGCAGATGTTTAATGCATGCTCCGGACCGTGGCCGGTTCTAGCTTCGCCATCGGCATTCAATGTTAATACCCCACCCCCACACCCGAAACGGTCAATCGTGACTTTACCCACGGGTCCGTGAAACGACGCGGACCGCAATGATTTTAGGCAAATTCGATTCTTGCTCGCGCCCCGCTTCGATTTCGACCTCGCTCCATCTTTACCCTCTGCTCTCAAAGTCGACGCCGCCCTCTTGGGACAATCGTCGGTCGCTAGTAAATTCTAATGGGACTCTCAACTTCGGACGAAGATATTTATTCTTCTTCATTTGAATGTACATTTTGGATATCTATGAAAACATTCGTTTTTCTAATGTAACTGGAAACCAGAGTTAAATATAAGATTTGCTCGTTGTATTGAGAATTTGAATAAACATTGAAATTAATTGATATTAACCCTTTGCACTCGAGAGGTGACTCTCACACACCGTTTGATTTCATATAGTAAAAGTATAAAATTTGATATTTAATATTATACTTTGTATAACACATCAATTTGAGAAATATTGAAATAACTAATTTACTTTTGGGAACTTGTTTCAGCTTGTTATCTATGTTAGGGTATTTTTTGGCAGTAAGTGAACTTGAAATACTTCCGGTCCGTTAAGGGTTGATACCTAATGCTTGTAGATTCCTATTACTTCAATCACTATTGAATTTTTCATTAGATTTCTAAGAATTATGTAAGATAATCTTAGAGATGCAGCAGTCAAACGTTGGTCGCCTGCATTTTATCTTACAATTGTTCCCTTACGATTTACAACGTGTTGTCTTACAATTATCTTATGACAAAAATAATTTGAACAGTGTCGATATTATTGATGTTAACAGTTTCCGTTTTGGAAACAATATTTCAGTATTAGGTAAATTTTCTTGCTACTTAGCGCGAAACATCCTCCAATCCTCAGGGTTTTTCTCGTGAAACAGATCGAGGCAGTCTGTTCACCGATTGAATTACTAGGGGATTCCCCTCGTGCACTAAATCTCGAGGTCAGTGATTTAGGAGGCTCCCCGACGCCATTGAGTATGCAATCGACCATCGATCTTCGCGTTAAACCGCCGCACTCGGTATCTACCTCTGTTGTGCCTGGTACCGCGCGTTATCCTTCGATCTACAAAGGATCTAGTCAAGATCGATTGATACCCGGCCGATACCGATCTATACAACTCGGCCGCGCATCGATCCTCGATCGGCGGACGCGTATCGCGTATTTATCGGGCCGAAAATAACTCTGGGGAGGTCCTCTCGTGAAATCTCAATGTTCAAACGGAATTCCTGGTTCGCGACGCTGTTTCCGATCGAGGCCGATAGAGATTTATCTGTCATCGGGGGATTATTCTCGATCCTTCCTGCACACGGACAGCGTGGAAAGTAATGGCCATCGGAGATTTGTATGAACACCGTTCCTTCACTAGATCGTGAGATATATTCTCAGAAATCAAATAATCGGGACAACAATGTTGAGGTTCTGGTTAATCAACTTGATTAGTTTCTAAAAGAATTTTCTAAAAGATTTTTTTCTAGAAAAAGCTACCTTCTCTTTGTTGGAATTTCTATATATTTCGAAATATCATAAAAACAAAGGAAAACAAATTATTCTGTTAACGCTACAACTACCGAACGGGTCGAAATCATCCATTTCAGATTTCTCCTTTTCGCGATTATTAAAAAAATAGCAGATGCTTCACTGGGAGTTATCAAAGAAATTGATTTGGCAATATGCAAATTCAATAATGAATCAATTAAACCCTCAATAGATGCACTCTGGAAGTTTCTATAGAGAAATATCAAAAAGTCAATTTCAATGCTCGGTAGTTCTAATGTTAAATACAAAAGTGTAACTCAAGAAGAAATTTGTAGATTTCCAAGCTTTCCGTTTTTTCAACTTCAAAGCTCAAGTATTCAGCTGCAAGCTCTCTGTTTAAATGTTTCTTTTAACATTGCCTCAAACAGGGTCGAAACTACCTACCCTCTTGCGCTCTGAACCTCTCTCAGCCGCCCCCAAACACTCGTAGAACAATACGAGCCCAACACAGGGACTTCCACTCTACTTTCGAGTTATCACGCTTGAAAGAGACTCCGCATTTGCGATTCAGAAAAACTACTTCCGCCTGAACGGTACTTTCGATTTCCTCTTACGAGGCCGGCAGCTGGCCGCTTGTCTGTCATCGGGAACCGTTTCTTGTCGGCCGTTCGCGTAGCCTCTGTCTGCGCTGCGTTCGGTATGCACTTCATCGACGAGGGCTCTCACTTGCATGATACCGATCCGAATGCGTGCAAGGTGGTCAACCTATTCTTCGAGTTTCGGTTTCAGCAACTCTGCAGTCGTTGATCGAATATTATTAAAACTTCATGGAAACAGGATAAATTACTCTTTCCTCTCTGCACGACCTCTGATTAGTTAAAATTTCTTAGAGTTCAGTTGAAACTTTAAAGCCACTTTCGTATACACATTCTCTACAATATAACCCTTAATTCGAGAGGCGCCTTTCAATCGCCATTTGATTTGGTCCAAGAAAATTATAAAATTAAAAATAAAAAATGTTAAATTTCGTCACTTAACATATGCAAGGTATTTCTTTATGTCGGTTATAAACAATATCATTGATATTTCAACAGAAAATAATGAATACTTGTTGAGAAAAGTATTCTCGAGTGCAAAAGGTTAATAAACAGTCAATTTTCAGGTAATTAAATTTAAAGTACAATTCACGTCTTGATCGTGGCTTATTGAAAATTCTTGTTATTAGGACATCCACGTCATACTTCTACTATTTAAACAACTAAGAATAACAGCAGTCTATCCTCAAAAAAGAAAACCTTTTCTAAAATATTCTTGGGCAAATGAAAACGTTAATAT